TGATGCTGATGCTGATGCTGATGCTGATGATGCTGATGATGCTGATGCTGATGATGCTGATGATGCTGATGATTCTGATGCTGATGATGCTGATAATGCTGTTGATGCTGATGCTGATGCTGATGCTGATGCTGATGCTGATGCTGACAATGCTGATGATGATATTGATGATGCTGATGCTGATGCTGATGCTGATGTTGCTGAAGATGCTGAAGCTGATGATGCTGATGATGCTGACGATTCTGGTGATGCTGTTCCTAATGTTGCTGATGCAGATGATAATGATGCTAATATGATGATGCTGATGCTGATGATGATGCTGTTGATGTTGATGTTGCTGATATTGATGATGCTGATGCTGATGATTCTGATTATGCTGTTGCTGATGATGCTGAGAATGCTACTAATTATGATGCTTATGATACTGATGTCGCTGATGATGTCGATGATGCTGATGGTGCTGATGATGTTGATGATTCTAATAATGCTGATGCTGCTGAAGTTGATACTGATGCTGTGATGCTGCTGATGCGATGCTGATGCTGATTCTGATGCTGCTGATGAAGCTGAATATGCTGCTGATGCTGCTGATGCTGATGATGATGCCTATGATGATGATGCTGACGCTGATGATGCTGACGCTGATGATGCTGATGATGCTGATGATGCTGATGCAATGCTCATGCTTATGCTGATTCTGCTGATGTTGCTGATGATGCTGATGATGACGCTTATTTTGATGCTGCTGATGCTGATTATAGTGCTGATGATGATACTGCTCATGATGATACTGATTCTGCTGATGCTGTTGATGCTGATGCTGATGCTGATGCTGACGCTGCTACTGATGATGCTGATTCTGATGATGCTGATGCTGTTCATGCTGATGCTTTTTATGCTAATGATGATGCTGCTGATGCTGATGCTGATGCTGATGCTGATGATGCTAATGCTGATGTTGCTGAAGCTTATGCTGATGCTGCTAATGTGATGCTGTTGCTGTTGCTGATGCTGATGGTGCTGATGATTTAACTGATTCTGCTGATGCTGATCATGCTGATGATGATGCTGCTGATGATGCTGCTGATACTGAGATTGATGGTGATGCTGCTGATACTGATGCTGATGCTGATGCAGATGCTGAAGCTGACGATGCTTGTGATGTGGATGTTGATGATGCTGATACTGCCAATGTTGATGCCGATGCTATTGATGCTGCTGATGCTGATGCTGATTCTGCTGATGCTGATGCTGCTCATGCTGATGATGCTGATCATGTTGATGCTGCTGACGCTGATGCTGATGATACTAATGCTGATGATGCTTTTGATGTTGATTATGCTGATGATGCTGATGCTGCTAATGCTGCTGCTGATGCTGCAGATGGTGATGCTAATGATACTAATGATGCTAATGATGCTCATGATTCTCATGCTGCTGAAGCTGATGCTGATGCTGCTGACGTAATGCTGATACTGATGCTTATGCTGTTGATACTGACGCTTATGCTACTGATGCTGAGGCTGATACTGCTGATGATGATGATGCTGTTGCTGATGATGCTGATGCCGATGATGCTGCTGATGCTGCTGATGCTGCTGATGCTGCTGATGCTGCTGATTACGCTGCTGATGCTGATGATGACGCTGCTGATGCTGATGATGCTAATGGCACTGGTGAGGCTGATGCAATGCTGATGCTGATGCTGCTGATACTGATACTTATGCTGCATATGCTGATGCTGATGCTGATGCTGATGCTGATGATGCTAATGCTGATGATGCCAATGCTGATGTCGCTGAAGCTTATGCTGATGCTGCTGATGTGATGCTTTTGCTGTTGCTGATTCTGATGCTGCTGCTGAATATGTTTTTTCTGTTGATGCTGATGATGCTGATGCTAATTCTGTTGATGCTAATGCTTCTGATGCTGATGATGCTGATGATGCTGATGCTGATGATGCTTATGATGTTGATGATACTGATGGTGCTGATGCTGCTAATGCTGCTGTTGATACTTCAGATGGTGATGCTAATGATGCTAATGATGCTCATGATGCTCATGCTGCTGAAGTCGATGCTGACGCTGCTGACGTGATGCTGATACTGATGCTGATGCTGTTGATACTGACGCTTATACTACTGATACTGAGGCTGATACTGCTGATGATGATGATACTGATGATGATACTGCTGATGCTGATATTGATTCTGATGCTTCTGATGCTGATGATGAAGCTGCTGATGCTGATGATGACGTTGTTGATGCTGATGCTGCTAATGTTGAATCTGATGCTGGTGCTGCTGATGCTGATGTAACTGATGTAACTGATGCTGATGATGCAGTAATGTTGCTGATTTTATGGCTTATGATATTGATGCTGCTGATCCTGCTGATGCTGATGCTGATAATGCTGATGCTGATGGTGATGCTGACGATGCTGATGCCGATGATGCTGCTGATGCTGATAATGCTCGTGATGCTGCTGATGCTACTGATGCTGCTGAAGCTGCTGATGCTTATAATTACGCTGCTGATGTTAATGGTGACGCTGCTGATGATGATTCTGCTGACGCTGATGATGCTGATGATGACGTTTATGATGCTGATGCTGGTGATGCTGATGCTGATGCTCCTGGCGCTTACGATGCTGATGATGATGCTGATGATGAATGTGATGATGATGCTGACTCTGATAATGCTGCTAACGCTGATGACGCTGATGATGACACTGACACTGATGACGCTGATGATGACACTGACACTGATGACGCTGATGATGACACTGACACTGATGACGCTGATGATGACACTGACACTGATGATACTGATGATGACACTGATGCAATAATTTTTCTGATTTTAATGCTTATGATATTGATGCTGCTGATAATTCTGATGCTGATGATGCTGATGCTGATGATGATTATGATGTTGATAATGCTGATGATGCCAATGATGTTGATGATTCTGATGCTGCAGGAACTGATGCTGCTGATGCTGATGCTGATGATGCTGATGTGAACGATGCTGCTGACGATCCTGCTGCTATCACTGACGATGATGAGGTTGATGACGCTGATGACGATTATGATGATGAAACTCTGATAATGCTGCTAACGCTGATGGTGCTGATGATGACACTGACGCTAAGGAGGATGCTGATTCCTATGCTGATGCTGTTGATGCTGATGCTGCTGATGCGGATAATTTTGATGCCGCTGATGCTGATGATCCCAATGATGCAGATAATGATGCTGATGCTGATGATGCTGCTGATTCTGCTGATGTTGATGCTGATGCTGATGCTGCTAATGTTGATGCTGCTGATGATGATGCTGATGCTGATGCTCAAAAGCTGATTTTGCTGCTGCTGATGCCCAGGGTGTTGCTGATTCTGATGCTGATGGTGATGTTGTTTATGCTGATGCTGCTGATGCTGACAATGCTGATGCTGACAATGCTGATGCTGACCATGCTGTAACTGATGCTGATGATGCTGATGCTGATGAGGCTGATATTGCTGGTAATGCTGATGATGCTGCTGATTCCTTTGCAGATGATGCTGATGATGCTGTTAATGATGCTGTTGATGATGCTGATGTAACTGATGCTGATGATGCTGTAATGTTGCTGATTTTAATGCTGATGATATTGATGCTGCTGATGCTGCAACTGCTGATGCTGATGCTGATGCTGCTGATGATGATGCTGATAATGCTGATGCTAGTAATACTTTTGCCGATGATGCTGCTGATGCTGCTGATGCTGCTGATGCTGCTGATGCTGCTGATGCTGCTGATGCTGATGATGACGATAATGATGCTGATGATGCTGCTGCTTTTGCTGACGA